GGGGACCAAAATATTTTTTGATTGGTCACTGGAAATGCATCTTTGAGTGAAGGTTTCTGACTGGTGTTTGGGTGACTGTATGTAATGTTTAGTTAGACCTAGATCATGCATTTCCAGTGACCAATCAAAAAACATTTCAGTCCCCCAACCCCCCAACATTTCACCGACCAGTCCTAGACTTAAGTACTGTCTGTGGAAAGTTGGTTGTGAAAACGCTGTCCATCACTCTCTTTGTTGGGCGTGAAGGGCAGTCTCACCAAATATCTGGTTTTCTAGGCTTGCCTTATGCAGGCAGTGCAGGTTGTAGTGAAAATTTCCCCTTGTCAAGCTTTACCTGTCGGCGTGTTTCATGGATCAGTGCGTGCCTTTAGAGGGAATGACCGTGCGTTTGTACTTCTAAATTATAAATTTTAAAACTTGTCATATGGCGAAAGCGAGCGTTTGAGCGGAGGGTGCTTTTGAATGACGTGCGTTTAGGCGGAGACTACAGTACACATTTCTATCTGACAATTTTGGCCATTTTGAGTCACTAAGACTAAGACTAAGACTATGAGGTCAGAAACAAACTCTTCTATCTGCTCTATCAAAATTGTAAGATTATACAGAGTTGTAATCAAGGTATTCAAAATCAAAGAATTGCATTTGAAAAAGCTGGACATGTTGCGAAACTTATTATTTTTCCCTTCAAATTTCTCAAAACTAGGTTAGCTACTGAGCAAATAGAGCTTTGTTATTCTGGGTAGCGACATGGCTTTCCAACAATCACTCTATTGCGACTCAATGCTTGAATAACATCAGGCCTTCCGAGAGACTGTTCTAGTGATTCGATGAACAAGCAATAAGTTCTTTGTGGACAGCTGATCACTTGAATGAAAAGTTTATTATTATAAGTCTATCTAGTGTTCTATTACAGCATTCACTTGTGCTGCGCATTATTATAGGCCTAAACATTACATTCATCCAAACACCAAGGAGAGACTTTCTCCCAAAGGCACATTTCAAGTGACCAGAGAAACAATGTTTCAGTCACCTAATATCGCTCACCCAGTCCTATGACTATGTGTCCGTAGGCTGTCTATCAGTTTCATTGTGCTGCACAAGGATCAGCCTCGCCAAATATCCAGTTGTCTAAATTTGTCTTTGTTATTGTTATCATGATGCATGTAGTCTAAGTTGTGGCGAAATTTCCACTTTGTCAAGCTTTACCTGTCGGCACGTTTCGCAGATCAAAGCTTGCGTTTAAAGGAAGTAATTACACATTTGTATGTCTAAATTATATATAGTAAAACACCAGTCATATGGCGAATGAGTGCGTTTGAGCAGAGCATGCCTTTGAATTAAGGCTGACATCTCTACAGCATAACAATACAGGACAGGCTTACTTTACTTTTACTTTTTTCTTTCGCTTGTACCTGTGGGTGTCGCGGGGAGACACAGGCGTCTGTCTGCAGCAAGGCGAGTAGCCTGAAGGAGGGACATCTCGTGAGCTACAGGACAGGCAACTTCAACTAATGACAAGCGGTATTTGTCACAATATCCCCTCCCTAGCTGAAAACTTGAATTACCTTTAAAAGTGACTTAATAATAATTTTTTTTTTTTAATTAAGCAATGGAATGTGGACATGTCAGACTTTATGCCCTCACCATGCACAGTGCCAAAATAGGGACAGTCCGGTCCCCCCCCAAAATTAGATTTATAGATGAATGACTTACTTTGATGGCAAACTTACAAGGCAGTTTGTACACTTTTTCAAATTTTCACTAGAATCTAGCATTAGTACAGTATGTCAACAAGAGACAATCAAGAATTTGTTTAAATAGGTACCGCAAACAGGGGCTTGCGCAAGGTCATGGAGACCAAAACCCATATTTTTACCCTCCTAAAACACTGTGTGATCATGCATATTCACAGACACTTGATATATCAGAAGAAAGAGGAGCTTTTCCTCTTTATAGTGGTATTATTTATTTGAATCAACGATTCTTTAGAAAGCAAAATCTTGTGGGATAAAATACAACGCTATCGAGGCTTTCAGCGACCACGCGTTTCGTGCATCGATTTTTAGCGTGACCTCAGTCGAACAGAAACGGGGAGCCTATGGTATTAAATACTGCAATCTGTTTATCGATATTTCAAGATGAGAAAACGCTCTTTCTAGTGATATATTGCTAAAGACTGTCCTTAAAGAATTAATAGAAGAGAATTGCGTGTGAAAACTTTAGATGCTGTTTTTTTTATGGAACCAGTGATCGGACTGGCCGATGGAAATATATTGGCAGAAAGCCCATTCATTCCTGTTCAAGAATAACATAGCCCTATTTTAGGAAAATAAATACCGGATGCTTCCCATCGGCTCGCAAACAGGGCCACTATCGGCCCAGTATCGTATAAATTCTTTCTCCTTCCCGTCGGCAAGGCCCCGTGCGCAGCCAATAAGCCAGTGGTCGCCAGTGGTGATTTTCAACCCCCCTTGTATTTCTTGCCATTTTGGTCAAAAGGCCATATTTAAGTCAATAAATTTCCATCTTCTGGTTATTTGATACCCCTGAAAAAAATTGGGCTTGTTTTCTATGTGCACGGGTGTGTGTTTACAAGTTCTTGTGAATGTCGCATTCAAATTTAAGAATGTATAGCATTTTTCTGAAACTTCAGATGTTCATAACTTTGTTAAAAATAAAGCTATATCATCTATATGTATAAATTTGGTATCAAAATGCTCAGAATAATAAATTCTATAACTATAAGGTGGTGCAGTAACTATGAAATCAGGGGACTTTGACATTTCTGTCTGTGGTACCTAGTTACAGTCAAGAAAGCAAAACAAGCAAAGCATTGAGGTACGAATAAAAAAAAAAGCACCTTCCAGTTGCAAATATATAGTCTTTGAATGGGTGACTTTGAATGCTGCATACGCCCATCTGGTGCCTGAAAAAAAAAAGAATACAAAGAGAACAATTAAATTTAATGTAATAGAACCACAACTGAATGGTATTAAATTATTCAGCATAATTTGTATTTTTGTGCTACTGTGCCACAGATCAAAGAACATCAGAAGAGATGCGTAACTGAAGGGAATATATATATATATATATATCTCCATCTTATTTCATGGTAGGTACCTGAACAATCCGAGTCTGCGCCCTAGAAAAGAGCATGCGAGCAGGGCGAAGTCTCAATGTCGTCTCAGATTAACGCAGTTTCTCCAAAATAGTGTTGACAAATAAAAGAAAATCTGTTTGTGTTAAGTGCTCTTTCTTCTTTTGAAATGTGATATTTTTTATTTTTTTTTACATCGAGAACAATTAATTAATATTCATTTGGGAAAGCCACAACAGGATCAATGGGTGGATCGTCGGGCTCAGCCAAGCTGGGCACAAAGGTTTTTGGCGGCTAGAGTTATTCATACGCAAATCCCTTGGCCAAGAGAAACGGAAATGACTGTATATTTTTACCATAAAAGAAGGGAGTTTGCGCTCTTTGAACTCTATATTTTCACAGTAGGGAAATTGATAGAGCTACAAAAGAAGCTGTGGCAACAATAAAATGAAAGATAGAAACACCAGAATTCGCTATTTCTTTTAAGAAAACAATTTTTGAGTAGTCACAACTGAAAGGCCATTCTTTTTCCTACGAACTGTTGCAGTTGCCTCTATTTATAGTAAATCAGTGCTTTTCTGGTCAAGAGAAATATTTTGTTGTAACTGAAAAGCAGCCCCCTCCCATCTTTCCATCTGTCTTTTTGTTGTACTCCAGCTGAAAAATGCATGTGAGCCAGGCAAAGAGTTGATTTCATCTCAAATTGGTGCTACAGTAAATACCGCACAGAGGGAGGCCTGGCAGTAAATACACGGTATACCGTTTGTGTAAAGACCGCACAGAAGGGCAGCTGGCAGTAAACACACGGTATGCCGTGGGCTTGCAGCCCGGGTCGGGTTTAAGAGTGAGATACACGTATAGATCTTCTTATTCTGGCTGAGGGCCTAGATTTCTGGGCTCTTCTCAGTTGGTAACCAACGGCAAAGTAGGTCTAATGGAAATCGTCAGTTGTGCTGCTGCTTTGGATACCAGCACCAATGGACTTTGCACGCCTTGAGAAGTTGTGTCACACGGGCATAGTGTTGTGGTATACTTATCTAAACCATTGTGGTTTTTAAAAATCTTCTTTCACGAAGACGGCTCCCTAAGCCAGTGGTTCTTACCCTTCCCAGAAGGTCGATATTTACTAGCAACTAGTACGTCGTAACCCAAAATAGACTAGACCTTTATGTGTACATGTACATGTTGATGTAGTAAAATACATCATGACCCATTTTGAGTTATATTTGTTTGAGAAGGGGAAATATCCTGATGATCCATGAGCTTTTAGATGTGACAATAACATGAAAAGTACTTCCCTGGGGACAACTGTTGTAAATAAAGGAGTCTCAGGCATACTTTGGACCAATACAGCTGACAACGGATAGTTGATGTCATCGGGGGAATGAATAAAGACCTACTCATCCGAAGATCAACTTTACTGTCCAGACCACTCAACAACAGGACAACAAAGTTCTTCCCCGGCTCATAATATTAATAAAAAATGTCAATTTTGGTCGGCCACTGTGGTAAAAATCGTGGCGACAGGAAAAGTTGCCGAGCAATATTTATTCATGTCATCAGAGAGAGAGAGAGAGAGAGAGAGAGAGAGAGAGAGAGAGAGAGAGGCGGGGTTGCAAGCACCAACTGACAGCTATGCTAACAATAATTAATACGCTTGTGCTCGTGCTCGTAACATGTAACTCTGCGACAATCTTATCAACTTACTTGCATTCTCACTGCGCTGATTAAGTTTTGTATTCCTGGTAAAACTATCACTGTTGGCCGTGTTCTTAACTCACTTGCGACTGGGCCCTTTCACCAGCCACAAGCGTTGAAGACTGGCGTTTTTGGGGGTATTTCAATAAATCACCACAACTCTCAGAATTACCCTATTGTAATCATTTTTTGACACAGTAAAGTAACATTCAAGCTTAATCTAATACAAAAAACTAAAGTTGTCTAAGTCTAATACTTTAATTTGTATGATTTTTTACAAATTGGCATGAATTTGATTTTCCAAAAAATTTCCAGAGACGTGACAAGTAGAAAGAAATTCACTGCAACAACAAAAATAAAAGTTCAAAGTGTTCTGGTTTGATTTGTATACATGTGCGAGTGTTTGGTGAAAATATAAAAGCTGGTCTGTGCATTGATTCAGACCCGTACACTGAATTACATGAGACAGATGTACGGCACGACGTTGTGATTTCGTTGCGCGAAAAACAACACCGGTACTAGTGCTAGATCTAGCCCTAGAACTACGACTCGGGGCGTGTTCGGGTACATATCCAGGATCCTAACTATTAGGCATATCATATTCTGAGACACTAGAACTAGTAAAATGCACAGAAGTATAGAAAACGGCGAAATGATGTGATTCTTGTTCATGCGACTTCTTCGACCGTTACTACGACGCGACTGTCGGATTACTATGAGCTGTATAGAAAAAAACAAAGCGCGAGTTCCGGTCTGTTCAACCCCAGTTGGGGTCACTGTCCTTCACCTTCAATAACTTAAAAACTACCGGCCCCAGAGATACGAAACGAAGTCTAAGTAGCTCAGGCTTGGCCAAACAAGGGTACGAGGCGGGTCTCGCGATCCGTGCGTGATTTGTAGAGCGAAAAAAAAATTCCAAAGTTGGTCACGCAGGGCTTGTGAGACCCGTCGCGAGCGTCGCGGCGGGGGTCACGCAACTGTTGTGTGACCCGTCTGAAGTGAGTTAATTCTCACATTGTACAATTACAATGTCCGTTGCGGACTAAATGATGAACTAAAGTGTTGACCACTAGCGTAGCTTTTTCCGCTATTTATGATCGTGTGCCCTACCAGGTACCCAGGAAGCATATCGATATAGCCGAGTGTCCCGAAAAAAAGTCGATATAAGAACATTTGTTTTGTGAATATATGGAAGGAAAAATATCGTAACTGGAAAATATGATATGTCAAAATGTCCATAAATCGGAAGTTGATATAAGTGGAATAAAATGTATTTTTCTTCAAAACAGAGTTGATGAATATTTACATATTTTTATATTTGTGTTCAGTGTTCTATCCTCTTTCGAAACATGGTATTCTTTTGATATATATACTGGTGGCAATTATAAATAATCTTTTGGGGAAACAGTTGCGTCAGCTATCTGTTGTTGTCTTTGTATATATATATATATAATATGGGAGGCATCGTGGTGAAATCAGGCGCTCGTCAAAATAATGAAATCGAAGAAAAAAGCATTTTTCCATCAGATTAGCAGTTTTTATCGAAATTTTGTTTTTTTATCTAAACACCTTTTACGTTCAAATGAAAACATATTTCCAAGTGAATTTTATAGAAAAACCTTGTTTGAAAGCACAAAATATGTAATTTTCAGTTTTCAAGGACTCTTAAGCTATTGAAGTTACCAAACTTTGGCAGCCATTTTCTCATTAATTTAACCACAGAAACCAGGCTATCCCACCTTCTTCAATCGCAAATATCTCGACTTCTATTCAAGCTAGATGGATTTTTTTGTCATCAAAGGAAGACAGAAGAACAGGCTTGAAGATGATACCAGTAACCCCATATGTCCAAAAATTGACGAACGCCTGATCCCACCATGTCGTGACACATACATTTGCTAGGTTTCCGTTCCCAAGGCAAAAGGTTTTTATCTCCTGTGCCAATTCAAAGACCCCTCAATGAACTACAGGAGTACCAGAGCCGATATTCTATCAACTTTAATAAGGATGAAAAATACTTAAACTGTCTGCTTATATTACAGAACACTACCGAAACTTGAATCTCTCTTGAAAGATCTTTTTTTAAAGTAACATTCATAATGCAATGAATGAGAGAGTGGTTTCCTCCCACCTCTTCAGTCAAGGCAAATCCCTGTCCTGTAGTAGCAAGCAACATAATAAAAAGATCAAATCTTCACAAGACTTTGAGCCAAGAGGCACGAGCTGTCAGACTAACACTAACAACATCAAGTACCTGCGGCTTGTAAAAGTGGGCTGTGTGGTATCTCTCAAATCCCAACGCTTTAGGCGGCAGTCATCTCCCCCTGTAAAGTAGACAGATACATGAACATTGAAGAGTTCATTTCATAACGAAACAGCACTATAAATATATGCTGCATATTTTTGTGCTCAAGAATAGTTCTTTTCACACTCTTGAGCCAAAATAAGGTAGGACTGAGCACTTATACTCGGTTTAAACAGTAGCATCAGTAAAATAATTCTGAATTTGACAAAATCACAACCAAAAAAAGTAAGAGAAATTGGCCCAAACAAAAAGTAGGCCTATTACATTCCTGACTTCTGAAAGAATGCACAATTTGGGCAGAAAACAGTTAAATTTTGTTTCACGCGTGGCGATATCTAAACAAGTTAAGTCAGCAGTTCACAATAATAATACACACATGAACATCATCCTGACATCATTATCCTATGTGTGTGCTTGCAAAGTTAAATTCAATAAAACAGAGAACTACGAATGCCAGATATGGCTTACTGATATCAGCTTATTGTCTTCACACCACATGGACAAGAAATATCAGTACCAGAATACAGTATGTTTTTGTCTGTCTTGTGGAATGCTGTGATCCAGGCCTCATAGCCATGCGCCTGCCATGATGAAATAGTGTTCACTTTGCTGTCCACATCAAATACAGTGAGACATCCTGCAGAGTCAGATGCAGCTACTCGAGATGTGCCACTGAAAAAAAAAAAATTTATATATAATGAGGATATTCTAATAATATGGTACCCCCTATGAGAGTAGAATGACTGTACTCAAACAACAGTGAACTGTAATTTGTACAGAACATGTAAAATGTCAACATTTTCTACTGAATTAAAATCTATTGATTTAACCAACTGTGGATAAAGTTTCTTCATATATAACATTGCAGATAGAGTCAAAGAACAACGTGCTGGTGATCTCAATCACAGTCCACATCATATTAACTGAGCATAAACATCTCCAGAGTTTGCAGTTCGTATGAAACTCAGAAGTTAATCACCTACAAACACAACAGAACATCTGCACCTCAACAACTTGCATCTAACTGCTGGAAATAAACTGTACTGAATGGCTGAACGTTTTTACATTCTAAAACTAAACTGAGCTGGAGTATGACTAACTTCTGTGTAAAACTCAGAGAAAACCTGAAGCTATTCAGTTCCCTCTTTTGTAGATAAATATGTTTAAGTTCCCCCCTCTCCCAGTCCCCACAGAAATATTTTTCGAGCTCAGGGGTCATATAACTAGAATAGCGAGTCCATACTTTAACAAACCCAGGGGGAATATTTCCATAAACGAATCTGCTATTACCTATTTATTGTCTTAAAAAGACTGTTTGTTCTGTGATCTTTATAACAAAACCTCTCAACACCTTCTTTCTTAATGCTCCATCAACTGCAAAACTTCTTACAATTTCCTCCTTCTATCAACATCAATGATTTAATTTTAAAAACAGTCCATTTTGTATAGAGCTCTCAACACACATTCCTTATCTACTGACTAGACTTCTAGTCTAGCTTCTTTTGCTACTTTATTGCAGTTTTGTCATGAGTTTTTGAGTAAAAGTTAGTTTTTGTTACCTTGGATTGTTTAACTTTAACAATTTACCTTGTTGCATTTGATCTCATCTCCCACCACTGACAACTCCTACCATGTTAACAAAGATTGACTACACAAGACTTCTACCTACAATTACAATGTTATAATGGGAAAATATAGCAAATGTCCAGCGGCAGTAGGATTACAGAGTTCACTTGCAGTAATTTAAGTGATTTCTACTGAAACATTAAACAATGAAGCAAGGCTTACCCACTGCAAGCAGGCGACCAGCCTAATGACAGACCAAGAGATGAGTCAGACAATTGCTCTTTGGTGATAGATGACGGCCTTTTGCTCTCTTGGTCTAGTTGTAATAGCTGGAAACTTTATTCATGATTAGTCGACTCATGGAAAACATATGAATGTGCAAAGAAAAGAAAAGCAACACTAGATCTAGTCTGCAATTTACAAAGGTACCTAACTTTACAGGTTGCGAATCAACATTGTCTGGAAATGAGCATATTGACTGATATGTGTGCATATACCACATCTATTATAATTAATATCTGCATGATTCTAACTTAATTTTGAAGGGTCAAAGACAGGGTATGAGCTAAAACTAAAATTTTAATATATTATTACAAAGAAGGTAAGCTGCAGATAATTTTAAAATAAATTTAGATTGTACTTTCCACGCACTTTCACATATATATGAAATAATACCGTCGGTGATCTAGTATATAGTCTAGTTAGGCTGTTGGAGTAGCAACCAAAAGGTTGTGAGTTTGAACCCTGTCAGAAGCCCCACATTGTGTCCTTGGGAAAGGCACTTCCCAGAAATTTTCTTCACTTCACCCTGGTGGGACTGAGTACCTGGCTGCTTTCTTGTACTGTATGCTTTCCAGAAAGCCAAGAATGTTTCTGAGCGTTCTAAGATCTGCAGGGGTGATAATATAGATTGTAAATTGCATAGAGCTTGTTGGTGAGCTGGGATGTGTGCTATACACATTTTTAAATTATAATTTATTTGTATCTATCATTTACTTATTACTTATTATTTCTATTAGGTAATAATATTATGGTACAGGGGAGGGAGGTGTCAGTAGGTCTACATGACCCTAGGGAACAGGGGTTTCATTCACCTGGAAATATCCCTCAGCATCCACTAGGCCAAACAACGCTTTGTCTTCCACTTCTTCGTTCAGCCATTTTATGTCCAGTATTCCACAGAGTGCTGCACTGGAAGTTTCTCGTAGCTCAGGAGTATTGCCTTCAAAGTTCAGAGAATAGACCGTCACACCCCCAACCCTAACTTGCACTTCAGGATCTCTTGAGACATTTTCCACATCCTTGTCCACTTGTGCAGGGCTTGGCGGTTCTGACTCTGCCTGATGAACGCAGAATTTCACAACTTGGTAGTCATTCATTTTTAATTACTAGAAATAATTACAGTAGTCTCTGCCTAACGCATGCCATAGAGTGGAACTCGGATTCAACGAGCTTGGATTCAACGAGAACTCGGATTCAACAAGATGAGATAGATTCCCCTTTTTTTTTCTTCTTTAAAATCAATAAAAATAACCCAGCTTCGACGAGCACTTAAAGCAGCGAGCTCCGATTCAACGAGGTCGCTAAAAGTGTGAACAGCCCCCGCAAACATGGCTTCGCTCATTTTTCTCTCAGAACGAACTTTATCTATTCCCGGAAACCATCCACTGCACCTGCATCGTCAACCATTATTCTTTTAGCCGATTGCATGCGACCAATCAGCGGCCTTCTTTCATACCAACACGTGCATTGTTGGCACTCGCACGTGTCTACTCTGGCGTGTGTCAGGGTTGGATTGGCGACCTGCACACGTGTGGCTGTGTGTGCGTCGGGGGTGGGGTGGGGGGGGCTAGCAGTCCGGGCGTTGAACGTCACAAACACCTCTTTTTTTTTCCCTCGGCGACTGATCATTATTACAATGATAAGGTAGTCTTGACGTAGACCTAAGTAATGAATTGAGCGCTAGTCTATGGAATCAAAAGTTGCTGTATGCTAGGCTCTAGACAGCAACACAACTTTTTGGTAAACAATCGAGACGACACAGGAGTGTGCATTTGAACGAATCAGTTTTTTTTTTTTACACAACTCAAATATGCAGGCATTTCAAGCACTACTTGTGACTTTTCTTTATACATTACTTGTTCAGAGCTTGTAATTATCTCTACACAAAACTTCATGTTTGCTATAACAAACACTCAGATTCAACGAGATTTTAGGTCAGGCCCGGTGACCTCGTTGAATCCGAGTTCCACTGTACTAAGGCATGCTTTGCTCAAACACACACTTTTGTCACATATATACGATGGTTCTTCGTACTATATGATTTAGACACATGATACAAATGCACGATCTTACTTTACTTTACTTTTATCCTCCGCTTATACCCCTTTGGGTTTTGCAGGAAGAAAGAGACGTCTCTCTGCCACCAGCTGGAGAGCTTGGGTCAGGGGGATGCCTTGAGTACATGCACGAACACTTACTCTAAATACACGCTTTGATCCGCAAAACATGCCAACAGGTAAAGCTGGACAATGGGAAATGTTTGCAACAACCTACACATAGATGATAACAAAGACAAGTCTAGACAACTGGATATTTGGCAAGGCTGCTCCTCAGGCAGTTCAATGAACAGCATTATCCCATCCTACTGTCCCCGGTCACATAAGACAGGGTAAGCGAATTGTTTGGAGGGGGGGGGGAACTGAACTGTATTTTAAATTGATTGGTCACTCAAAATGCATCTTTGAGAGAAGGTTTCTCGTTTGTGTTTGGGTGACTGTAATGTAGATTAGGCCTATTAATGCTGTAGAACACGAGATGGGACGATAAGATTAATGATTAGTAAAGTGATCAGCTTCGCCCAAAGAACTTATAATCGTATTTGTTCAATGAATCGTGAGAGAAAAGTCTCTCAGCATGTATGTCATCAATGCATTTATTGAATTGCAACACATGACAGGTAGTCAGGAGTGATTGCTAGGTAAGCCTCATGGCTGAGCGCTCTTCCCTATAACTATACTATAATGCCAGTCGTCACTATCTCAAAGTTTCTTCTTATCTGTCCCCAATAAATGTGCACATCAGTACAGTGAATCAGTCTTTCTCCTTTTTTTCACCACTAACACAATGCCTCTGCAGACCTACCCGCAATCCTAGAATCCTTTTCAAAATAGTCACATTTTGTAACATTATTGGCGAAAGCCCCCCCTCCCGCTAGGAGGTTACTAAATTCTCAAGGAAATGAGATGGTTGCATCCCTTTCTCCCTTTGCACAGGTTCACATATTTATAAATGTATTCATCATGTCTCGCTTAGGAGCCTTACCAAGCACTGTGTGTTTAGGTGGAAACTACAATACAGGCAGGACGAAAAAGACTCAGTAAATTATTCACTATAAACAAAGCAGAGGATTGAAAATCGCAACAGGAGTGACAAGTAACACTGCACATTAAAACATTTTTTATGACATATGGAACTGTTTTAAAATTCCTGGAAAGTTATAATGATTCTATCTATTTAGATAGGACATAAAACAATTATGTTGTTATATATATTTGTTCAGTTCTGCTATTTGGCAAAAAAAAAGGGCTGACTGTTTAACTCTGCTTTGCAGGCAGAGTAAAAAAAACATCTTAGAGACTAAATGTTTTTGTGACGCAGAGGATGTAATGAGTACAACAATATCAGTATGACTTTTATGCAATGTGTACTAAAAATACAAGTGAGACATCCAATATTTGGAGTCTGACTGTGTTTTCCTCGAGCCCATCTCTAACATTAAAAACACACACACACACATTATATTATTATATTAATAGGAAAAGATAGCCACATCACAAACACATGTAACTGATACTGATTTAAATTAGAGAGAGGTTTAGTAAAGAAAAAAATGCTGCAAAACTTCTATCTTTGACTTACTTCCAGCAGTGATGACTGTGATTCTTGAAGCTTGTATGTACCACAAAGGAGTATGTGTTGGTTGTCATGATATGGGCACCATTCTACAGAATCTGCATTCACAACAGTATCCACTTTCTGTATTGTTTTGCCACTCTTTGCCATGTTTATTATTCACATACATCAGAATCTGGGGGACAAGTTTTACAAGTTGAATTCAGATACAAGGACATAACCCCCC